TTCTGTTGTTTACAGAGTAACGTAATTTTTAAACTCATATTCCAGAGAGTTATAAAATAGCCTCCTCCATCGTCAGCCAATGATATCATTGTTGAGCTGTTTTCAATAAAAGTTCAAGTTGTACTTCCTGCCTCACAGGTCATGTCTGGTTCCGTTTTTGGATCCTCTCCATTGTATTCAATCCCTTTGGTTCTCAAGGTGCCTACTTACTGATCAGGGGCTTGAAGAAAGGGAGACAATGTTGGTTTGTAATTTGTTTCTGTTTTTCTTTAATCATAGCAGCTGGAATTTTTCATCTAAGCTGTGGCTTCTTCGACTACTACATTGCAGTTCTCAAACTTAACTTTAGACTTCTCTGGATAGTTTCTAAGATATAAATTAAATTCAGTGTCAACGAAAACAAACTTATAAAACAGGCCTTCTTGGCAACACCCCTCTCCCCAGATATAGAGGCGCTAATGGATTCTCATCCTTTCCTCGGAGCCCTAAGATGACTTGAGCCTCACATCAACTCTCTTCGCTACAGTTAGTCAATTCTCTTTTCTTAGTTATCTAAGTGCCAGCCAAACACTGCACCCTAGCATTTTTCATTCTGAACCACTTTGTGGATGAAGAGGGCCACACTGAAATGTGCCTCTCCCTGAACTGATTAGTTTTCTGCTGTTGTACTCTATTAAACCAGATAGGAAAAAATAAAAGAGCACAATTTCTTTAACACAATAGCAGTACGACAGCAGTACAGCCTATATTCTCCCCCATACTTCCAAACACACATGCCACCAGATTCAAACAGCTGTTACCTACTTACCTATTTAGAAATGCAATCAAATATAAATATTTTCAGAGACAGATCAATCCTTGCATCCTAAAGCTCTGTGGCAACAGTAATTCTCATGAGTCATTACTCAAGATTTCATGCCTATGTCACAGGCGAGTCATGTTTCAAACTGTTCAATCATTTCATTTAAAGGGCTCAAAAACTGAATTGGGTTTTGCCACATATGGGCTGTATCTTTTCATGTATGGAAGAATGGATGAAATCCAACAGAAAACTACAAATGATTTTCTCTCTAGTTTTATACAGTAATGGGTTTATTCTCCCAAATTCTAGGACTTTCTCAAGTGGTAGTAGGAATTGTGGTTTTGGCTCTCTTAAGCCAATGTAAGCATATTTCCCAACATTCATTAACTGAGAGAAGACCAAATAACATTGCAGTACTTTTGAAAAGCTGAAGAAATCTCTGTTTTAGTGGTCTCCTTTGAAATTATTTATTTTAACCTTCCCCATTCCTGTTGGAAAATTAATTTTCCTGATCTGATATTGCCTCCTTTCCATATACTGAGATATCATAATACTATGATTTAGGGCCTGATACTGAGTTAAATGTTCAAAGTGAGATATTTTTCATTTGCTATATCCACTCGCTGCCACTGCTCCCCCTCCCCCACCATTTCTTGTAATCCAAGGATCTGGCAGGAAAGTGGCTGGCAGGAGCTAGAATTTAATCATGGCAGTTAATTATAAAATAACAGGTCCCAGCTTGTTTCTACTTTCCACCTCCAAGAACATTTATAAATCTATACATCTGTAGACAGTTTATCTTTCAAAAACTTCTCATTTTAAATTTGTCACCCTCGCATAACTCTAAAGAGTCAGTGATCGGTAACTGGATTTTAGAGATAGTCTTTGGTGTTGAAGTAGAAGAGATTCAATATTTAACACGCTCATTTTACCAAGTTCAAAACCAGTGACAGGAAAGCCAGAAAGATAAATATATATTTACCTGATATATAATACACAGCTGATATATTATATAGACACACACACACACACACACAGACACACACACACACACAGACACACACATAATAGCTCTACTACTAATAAAGCCTAGGTTGGAAAAGGTAGCTTAGGTCTATTCATCAAGTGGTCTTGGCTAATATTTCACCCCAGAATCAGGACAATTTCTCTACCTAGTCACAGGTGCAGCTCAACAGGCAGAGGCCTTCCTGAGGAGGCCTGCCCCTATAAAACTCACAGCATAAACAAGCATGGCAGAACACAATATATGTAGGAAAGGATGAGCTAAACTAGACAGGCCCCATTCCCTTTCAAAATTTGAGGACCATAAGTCACTTCTCCACTGGGGAAGACTAAAGTGAGGGAGTTTCTAGAGAGGCCAGGAGTATTATGCCAATGAATGCACATCCCATACAAGCATGCAAACATGAAACCAGAGGAATGAAAGTTCTTCCCCAACATGCAACACCAAGGAACCTCAAGTTGCCCCCAAAGCCAGGCTGACATTCCCCAGTTCCCACACATTGAACTTGCTGACTGAAACATTTTTCCTTTCCACCTATCTAAATCCTACTCATCTTACATTATTAAAATTATCTCCAATTCTCCTTTTCTGTACAAATATTTCTGTACAAAAAAAAAGTCACATCCTTTTTGAGAACACTTGCATCTTAAAAACTACATGCTACACCCTGTAAATGTACTGAAGCAGCTACATATAAGCTTTAATAGACTGCAATATGCTAAGAAGCAACAAACAGTGGAGGGCCATCAATTCATCTTGCACTCTTCCCTTGGGTACTTCAAGATATATGAGCAAATCGCTTATAGATCCAATAAAGGTACCAAAGCATGCACCAAATATTAGTAAAGCTTAACTTAAGCATAAATACAGCTTTAATATTTTCTTCTCATATCCAAATGTACTTATTTGCATACTTCCTATTATGCCAGCACCCCTCCTTAGAGACCACCACTTCATGCAATGAGGAGTGACATTAAGGCTCAACTTTAAGAAAGAGGGCTCTGACAGCAATGAGAAGAGAGAAAAAGTAAATGAGCAGATATCCAACATGGGATTGTAGCATCTAACATGAGAAGGCCATGCATACAGTGGTGCAGGTCCAATCAACAAAATTTGGAAAAAGTTCAGCTTTGGGGTGGTCTGAAAAGGGAGGCAAAGGAGGAATTCTAGATGATTTCATGGTAACAATCCTGAGTGACTTAGAGGACATAATAGCATTAACTAAAAAGGAAGTACATGAGACAGCAATTTGAGGGAAGGACATTTAGATGGAGAGATCCTTGAGAAGTATGTGCATTTAAAGGACACGTGGGAGAGAAACTAATGAAGGTGCTGAAAATGGCCAATGACACTGGAAAAGAACAAGGGCAGTAAAGTGTCACAGTAGCCAAGGGAAGACAGAAAGCATTTTTTAAAAGGACAAGATGACCACTGTGTCAGCTTCTGTCAATAATTAAAGGAGACAAAGGACAAGAAGACATCCATGGATGTGGCAAATAACCAGTAAGAACGAAAGCTAGCATCGCGTCTGCTGCACACTTGCCACGTGCCAGGCACACTACTTCAAGAGTTGTACAAGTAAGAACCCATTTCATCCCCAAGAACCCTTGGAAGTAAGTGTGACTAGCATCCCCATTTTGGTGATCAGCCTCCCCAGTAGCTGAGATTCCTGGCGTGTGCCACCAGGCCCAGCTAATTTTTAGTCGAGACGGGCCTTCACCATGTTGGTCAGGCTGGTCTCAAATTCCTGAACTCAGGTGATCCACCCACCTTGGCCTCCCTTGTACAAGTAAGAACACATTTCATCCCCAAGAACCCTAGGACATAAGTGTGACTAGCATCCCCATTTTGGTGATCATCAAGAAAATTAAATCCATAATAAGGAAGAGGCAGAACCCAAAGTGGATGGGGGTGAGGACAAATGGAAGGTAAGAAAGAATAATCTGCCTATAAATGAACAGAGGGATAAGAAAACAGAACAGCAGCTGCAAGTAAAAATGTTTTTGGTTTGTTTTTTATTTTTAAGATGGAGACTGAGCATTGAAGTGTTTATCAACTGAAGGGACAGAATTGAAGTCTGTCCCATACAAAAAGTATCTCTGGTGCCACTGGGAAAAGTCACAAAGACAGAGATATGATGTCAAAAAGTCCAGAAAGTAGACAGGGAAAGACAGTACAAAATAGCATAGTGCTACCAAACAACAGTGTCGCCGCACTCTGACAGTGAGAAAACTAAAAACAAGGGACTGAGAAAGAGTAAGATCTGAGAGGAATCGGACAGAAATGGCGGCTGTGTAGCAGTCTCAGGCTTCCTTCCACCCCAACACAGGGGTGCGATGAGTGACAGTTGTTCAGTACAGGATGCAAAAGGCTGAATGAGGTGTTTACATGACTTGCTGCACGGGAGACTTGAAAACCTGACAAAAGGTGAAATCCAGGGCTGAAGACAGCAGGTGTCCAGGGCCCCACTCATAGAACCTATAGGAAAAGCACTGGGTGATCTTCCCCCTCTTTTTGGTAGCACCCTGCTTCCTCCTGAGTTCCACCGGAGGTCAGAGAAGACAGTTTCAGGTATCACACTGTATTTATTTCAGAAGCATGCAGTTATGGAGAAAAAATAAGACTTGGAGAGCAGTGGAAGAGACAAGTTACTGCAACCACTTTAGCTGCACAGGTTGGCTACTTCTCTACACACCTTGGGAGTTCATGCATAGCCCGGAGGGAGAAGTGATTGCTAGAGAACAAAAAAATTAGCAACTGAGTCACACAGGGAAAATTTCTGGATAAAAATTTTAATTAGCTAGGTTGATCCTTAGGCTGGAACACTTTGTGGATTTAGCTGCAAAGTGTATTTGAAGGAATGTTAAAAAGTAACAACTGTGTTTTAGATAACTTATTTTACAATATACATTTCTAGGGTAAAAATACTAAGAACTCTTTTCCATAAACACCTCTATCACAAACATAAGAGTAAAATTAGAAAATAATCAATATTTTAAAATGAATTATATACATGCAACAGAGACATTTCCTTTGAGCAATTTATATCCTAATCATAAAAACCAAGGTTGCAAAATTGAAGAATTGTCCTCATTTTTTAAATTTAAATTCAAAGCATAAACCTACACAAAAATTATGTAAAATCAAGAACAGGTCGGGCACGGTGGCTCATACCTGTAATCCCAGCACTTTGGGAGGCCAAGGCAGATGGATCATTTGAGGTCAGGGGCTTGAGACCAGCCTGGTCAACATGATAAAACCTTGTTTCTACTAAAAATGCAAAAACTGGCCGGGCGCGGTGGCTCATGCCTGTAATGCCAGCACTTTCGGAGGCCGAGACGGGCGGATCATGAGGTCAAGAGATCGAGACCATCCTGGCCAACATGGTGAAATCCTGTCTCTACTAAAATTACAAAAATTAGCCAGGCGTTTGGCACGCGCCTATAGTCCCAGCTACTTGGGAGGCTGACGCAGAAGAATCACTTGAACCCGGAAGGTGGAGGTTGCAGTGAGCCGAGACTGCGCCACTGTGCTCCAGCCTGGCAACAGAGCAAGACTCCATCTCAAAAAAAAAAAAAAAAAATGCAAAAATTAGCTGGGCATGGTGGCAAGCACCTGTAGTCCCAGCTACTCAGGAGGTGGAGGCTGCAGCAAGCCCAGAACGTACCACTGCACTCCAGCCTGGGTGAAACTGCAAGAGTTTCTAAAAAATAAAATAAAATAAAAATCAAGAGGGCCGGGCGCGGTGGCTCAAGCCTGTAATCCCAGCACTGTGGGAGGCCGAGGTGGGTGGATCACGAGGTCAAGAGATCGAGACCATCCTGGTCAACATGGTGAAACCCCGTCTCTACTAAAAATACAAAAAATTAGCTTGGCATGGTGGTGCGTGCCTGTAATCCCAGCTACTCAGGAGGCTGGGGCAGGAGAATTGCCTGAACCCGGGAGGCGGAGGTTGCGGTGAGCCGAGATCGCGCCATTGCACTCCAGCCTGGGTAACAAGAGCGAAACTCCGTCTCAAAAAAAAAATAAAATAAAATAAAAAATAAAAAAAATAAAAATCAAGAAAACAGAAATAATTTCTAGAAAAACACTGGGTTTTTTTTTTTTAAAGGTTGCGTTTTTTTTTTAATAATTACAGAAAGATTATCAACTGAATGGAAAAGACTTGGGTCAGTGTCAGGGATAATTATTTACAGGATCCTAAACAATCAATTCCCTCTTTAGGACTCAGTTTGTTCATATAGATGAGTGACTTGAACTAGATACAAAGTACATCAAAGCCACAGCTTTACAAATGCAGATAGTCAATTTTCTAGAACAAAAGCAGGATTTTATTTAGCTGGGTGGGAGGAATACTCATATCACTTAAAATTTATTAATCTGAAAATCCACATTAAGTGTTATTAAGAATAAAAAAATGCTATTACTTAGGTTTTACATACTAAGTAAAAGCTATTCAATCTTTACTAGGTTTAAGATCACCTGATTAGAATGAGGATGCAGTGTAGGAAATTTTTCCTATTATTTTCTAAATCTGTTTTAAAAAATGCTTGCAGAGGATTAGTGCAGCAGCTCACACCTATAATCCCAACACTTCAAAAGGCTGAGACAGGAGGACTGCTTGAGGACCAAAAGTTCAAGACCAACCTGGCCAGCATAGTGAGACCCTGTCACTAAAAAAAAAAAAGAAAAAAGAAAAAGAAAAATACTTACAGAAATATATCAAATTCAGTACCTCTACTTCAAATTTGTAGGCCTGTATTTTTTCTTTACATTACTAATAACATCATTTCTTAGTTAAACCATATTCTTTTAATACCTTGCTTAGAAAACTGTACTATTCAATTATCGTCATTCTTTCCAGATTATTAAAAGAGATGCTGCATTGCTTTTAAGTTTTAACAAGATTTCTCCATCTCCAGAGAGTCTGCACATACATGCAGCACTGTTATTAAAAATGCCAGGGAAGTCTAGGCGCAATGGCTCCTATCTTTAATCCCAGAACTTTGGGAGGCCAGGATGGGCAGATCACTTGAGCTCAGGAGTTCAAGACCAGTCTGGGCAACATGGGAAAACCCAATCGCTACAAAAGATACAAAAAAAAAAAAAACAAAAAAACGCCAGGCATGGTGGCTCACACCTGTAATCCCAGCACTCTGGGAAGCCAAGGTGGGCGGATTATCAGAGGTCAGGAGTTCAACACCAGCCTGGCCAACATGGTGAAACCCGGTCTCTAAAAAAAATAAAAAGTAAAAAATAAAATTAAAATAAAAATACAAAAAAACTAGCTCAGTGGTGTGGTGGCAGGTGCCTGTAGTCCCAGCTGCTCAGGAGGCTGAGGCAGGAGAATTGCTTGAGCTCGGAGAGATCGAGGCTGCAGTGAGTCATGACTGTGCCACTGTGCACCCGCCTAGGCAGTCCTGTCCCACAAAATAAAATTTAAAAATAAAGTAATAAAAATGCCAGGGAGACACTCATTCCAAGAGTATCACTGTAAATTTCATCAAGTTTTGCTAAGCAGGCAACTAATAATACACAAAAAACCCCCCTTGTTTAAATCTATTTTATATTCGTCCTCCCTTTCCTCAAATTCTGAATTCCTACAAAATTAAATTATGTTCTCTAGTTTACAATGTGGATGTGGAGGAAGAAAAATACAGAAGGGCAACAGAGAGAGCCTTGCACTGAGGCCACAACCACTCCAGAGGGTGGGATTACACTCATTCCACACAGGAGGAATCGGAAGCTTCAGGGAGCTGATGAAAAACTGGTAAACTGTGAAACTAAGATTCAAAACCAATTCTACCTGGCTGCCAAAACCACGCATTGCTTTCCCATGTTCATAAGCTATGGTAAGCACAGCATCAGCGGCAATCGAGGTAGAAAATCTAATAACAGAAAAATAGGAATGCACCTGCAATGAGAATACTTAGGATCTCAGACTGCAAACTGAAAATGCCTGCAGGGCCCATGCAAGTAATATAAAATGAAGGGAATTCAGCAGGACTGGAAACCAGGAGACCATGTGTATCATCTACAGAGGCAGCTGCTGCTTCACTTCATGCAGGAATGTGGGCCTGGTATTGCCAGATTTTGTGCTTCTATTCAAGAGACACTGGAAATAATCTCATTATTTGATACAACTAATTTTTAAAATGATCAAACAATATAAATTGGTAGACCACTAGTATCCAGCCCCTAGAGCTGCCAGTTTTCCACCTCCAGTATTCTGGGGGCACTACCATCATTCTGAATAGAAACAGAAATAGAAAAACAAGTGTGGGTCTCAAGGGGCAAAGAGACACTGGTCTGAGAACAGCCAGATGATTATAACACTAGATGAAGCATATCTGTTTAATCCAGATATGATGAAATTAGTCATTAACTATATCAAGGGTTTAGTTTTCAATTTCCCAAAGAAAGAGCAAGGCTGCAAAAGAGAAGATTAGGTGGAGGGAGGGGAGGAACAATACAGCAAATGATGAAATGATACGTAAATGGTAAGATTATTTTAATGTAATGCTCAGGCAAAACCTGCTCACTCTTTTTTTTTGAGATGCGGTTTTGCTCTTGTTGCCCAGCCTGGAGCACAATGGTGCGACCTCAACTTACCGCAATCTATGCCTCCCCGATTCAAGTGATTCTCCTGCCTCAGCCTCCCGAGTAGCTGGGATTACAGGCATGCACCACCACACCCAGCTAATTCTGTATCTTTAGTAGAGACGGGGTTTCTCCATGTTGGTCAGGCAGGTCTCAAACTCCCAACCTCAAGTGATCTACCCACCTCAGCCTCCCAAAGTGCTGCAATCACAGGCGTGAGCCACCCACCTCACCAGGCCAAAACCTGCTCTTAACTGAGTCAGTCAACCACCAGTTACAGAAACTTGACGATATCACTAATTCTGAACAAGATTAATGTGGGTGGGGAGAATTAGTCATTTCTTTGTTAGTCCTTAATTTTAGCCATTGAAGCATAGCCAAGGGAAAGTAAGCATATCAGTGTGGTTACGTTTCAAGCAAGATATTGAAATTGAGACAAATATTTCATATGTTCAAGAGATTCTGACAAGTATTACGCCAAACACACAAATGAGAACATGCTCAATACAGCCAACTCATCCCATCTCTTCATGTATCCTCTATCTCTATCTTTGTGAATAAATTCAAAAACATTTTAGCTGCAAACACAACAGAATCTCCAAAAGTACACACTGACCAAAAGTTGAAAAGTTTTCAGTTTACAAGTGAGTGGCCATTTTTTGTTTGAATTTGTTTAAATTTTTTTTAACATTTTTCCAAATTTTTTAAGGCCACAAAACAATTATTTTTACCTGTGTTTTTTCTGCAGCAATCTTCTCACTAAATGACAGGGCCATCTGATATACTCCATACCATTACAGACCTGCAAACCCTTGATTTGGATCCCACCACATAGTACTAAATCACCCTCTGTCATGTTTATGTAATTTTTTTAAAGTAGCTGTAAGTTATCTTAAGGACTGCTCTCTCTATCCTCTGTACATCCCACAAAGTAGACTCAAAAATTCAACCAATCAACATTTTCATATAAATCTTGTTTTTAATTCAAGAACATCACAGTCAGCTCTATAAACATTACATAGGAATTAAGACACAATATTTCCCTTTTTCCTTGGTTTAGAAAGACTTGGATTCAACAAGAGCCTCCATTCTCCTCTTACTGAAATTACCATGTGAAAAGAAGTTAATTTGCATTTAGTTCATTGTCCTTAAAAGGAAGAAATTTTCAAAGAGGTGGAAAGTTTTTGTGTGTGCTTTTTAACTCCTATGGAAATCATTCACTCTGGTGGCATGGGTTTTCCACATGCAAAATGTAAGTGTGGTAATTAACTGAAATTTTTTTCTGAGATGGATTTACTGGGGAAAGTTATAAACCTAACAACAAGATGTCTCATCTCTGCCTCACACCAATTCACTCAATAGTACCTAGTTAAGGTGTCAGAGGCTCTTTACGTTAGCAACAAGAAGCTGAATTTTTTATTTGCTTGCTAATTAGGGGTTTCTGTGACTACTCAGAGGTGCACAAAGAAATAAAGGTTTTGCTTTTATCTAAAGAAATGGAGTAAGGAGAGAATATATCATAACAGCACGGGTTGAGTACAAAAGGATGCCCATTTACTAGATGACAAATCTTCACCAAGTTACTTAGTGCTTTTTCCTTATTTTAGAAAGGTC